TCCTCTTCACTTTCTGCCAGTGTCATCTGCATATCTGAGTTTATTGATAGTTCTCCTGGCAGTCTTGATCCCAGCTTGTGCTTCATCCAGCCCAGCATTTCTCATGATGTACTCTGCATATAAGTTAAATAAGCAGGGTGACAATATACAGCCTTGATGTACTCCTTTTCCTATTTGGAACCAGTCTGTTGTTCCATGTCCAGTTCTAACTGTTGCTTCTTGACCTGCATACAGGTTTCTCAAGAGGCAGGTCAGGTGGTCTGGTATTCCCATCTCTTTCAGAATTTTCCACAATTTTGTTGTGATCTGCACAGTCAAAGGCTTTGGCGTAATCAATAAAGCTAGAAGTAGATGTTTTAGAGTGGGGCGGAAATGGGAGGCGAGGAAGGCCTCACACTTTCCTATCAGATAAGACGTGCAACTGACGGGACCTGAGACTCCCAACTCACCAGCCAGCCTCAGCATCCTCTCTCGCTGCCCCTGCTTGGTCCAAAAAGCAAAGCTGACATTTACTTTTCATGTCCAGGAAGAGCAGAACCAGCACCACCCACAGGCTGCAGTTTGAGGATCCGGTAAAGTCCTTCCCTCAATCTCCATCTCTCCTTTTGCCTGTTGCAGAGCAGAGTAGGGGGAAGGAGACTAGGAATGGTCCAATCTGGGCTGCTCATCTCACAAATAAGCTAATGACAGTGATCTCGGTGCTGGCTCATTTTGAGCACATAGATTCCCAAGCACCATATGAAGGGCTTTGTTTAGATTATCTTGTTTCATCCTCACAGTAACCCTGAGAGGCGGTCTGTTATTATCTCCACTTTCCAGATTTGGGAACTGAGGCTCAGAGTGGTGAAGTCACCATCCATGGTCACACAGCTAGCAAGGGTGGTTCTGGGACTTCAGCCCTCTGGCTCCAGAGAGATGCCCTGAATAGCCAGCGTCCCTGTGCTCTGCTGTGAAATTCAGGCTCAAAGAGAAGAGTTCCCTGATGCCTGCTGCACCAGGCAGATTGCTGCCCCTGTTCTGTGCTCCTTTAACAGCCTCGGATTTGGAGTTTTATTATTTCAGGGGCTGATGCTCTGATCACCAGAAAACTTTATGACCTCTTTTTCACACACAAGAGCTAGCTCTACCTCCAGAATGCTCCCCTTCTGGAAAGAAGAGAGGAGGAAGGTCTGGGCATGGTTTAGGGGAGAAAAGGTTGGGTGCTACTCCGTGTTTCCATGGCAATGCAAGAGCCTCCCTCATTACTGCCTCTGCTTGCTGCTGAGAAAGCTGAGGACGGTAGTGAGGTGGGGGTGAGGCTGTCTTCTCTCTTTTCCTTCCTCACCTCCCCTTCAGGCTGGGCTGAGATAAGCTGAAAGCCCACACCTGACCCAACCTTGCTGGCTAGATTCCACCCCACTCTAAATTTAGAAGATGGAACCTTGTAGCTGGGTCCTCCCAGGCAGAATAGCAGCCAGGGCCGGGCTTCTCAACAGCATTCCTCTCCCCGGATCCCAAAGGGTGTGAACTCCCTAAAGAGGAGGAATGAATGTTTATAGTTTCAGAGTCTGCACAGGGCCTGGCGAGAGTAGATGCTCAATGAATTCTTGTTGAATCAATGAATGAACAAATGAAAGAATAGACCAGTGACCTGTCTGACACTGGAGGCGCGAGTATTCATTTTCAGTTTCCCAAACCTCTGTGCTCTGTCTCCGCTCCGCATCTTTGCCAGTTCGGTTTCCTCTGCCCACGCTTCCCCACCACACTGTGCTGTCCTGGCAGAGGTCGCTTTCCCACAGAAGGTTGTGTAGACTATTTGATGGCGAGTCCTCCCCACGGCCCCGGGCTTTGGGAGTGCAGGAGGGCAGAGGCGTGTGCCTCATGTGCTTGTGTGTCTCCCCAGTGAGTCTGGGAGCCTCATGCAGGTGGGAGCCATGTCTGCCAGGCCCCTAGAGCCTGGCAGGATGCCTGGCTTATAGTAAGTATGCAGTCCTTCTTTCTGGAAGGTTGAAACGGAGGGAGAGAGGGGGCGGTTCTTTCGGAATCAGAGAGACTAACGTAGTGGAAGTTGATGAGTAAAAAGAACAGCATCCAGAACTCAAAACCTTCTTAGATCCAGATGGGAACCAGGGCTCTTCACAGCCCAGGAATCCCTTCCCAGGCTCATCACACACAGCATCAACCAAATAATAACAGTCTCGAGTCCTTGTGGTTGGACAGCAGCTCACCAAGCTCTTTCACATCCTTGGCCTGGTTCCAGCCCCCAGAAAGCCCAGAGAAGGGTTTATAAATTGTTCCCCTCCTTTAAAAGGCGCTGGGCAACTGGACAGCCACATACTGCCCTAAGTGAGCTTAGACCCTTACTTCATGCCATATGCAAAAATTAACTGAAAAACGGATCACAGACTTTGATGTAAGAGCAAAAACTCTAAGACAGAGAAACATCAAGGAAAATCTTTAAAATCTTGGATTAGGCCAAGATTTCTTAGACACAGTACCAAAAGTATGACCCATAAAAGAAAATTTGATACATTGGACTGTAAAAATTTGTGACTTTGGCGCTTCAAAAGATACTGTGACAAAAATGGGAAAAAAAAAACACCAAGCAATATGGCGAAAAACTATTTTTGAAACACACATGTGATAAAGAAAGAGCATCTGGAGCTTAAAGAGGAGGAGAAGGGGTCTGGGGGAGGGTGCCACCAGCAAAGACAGCTTGGGTTCCTAAGTCTGGGGGACTCGCCACTGCGTCTGTTCTTTGCAGCACCCCCGCAGCTGAGTTGGGCCACCAGGCCTGATTGGGAGGCCCCCTGGAGAACTGATTCAAGTAGGCAAAATCTCTCCCCAAGGCCTTCAGACTTCATAGACGTGCCCTGCCTCCTTTTTCCACCTGCTTCCTCAACAAGGGCTCTCCCTAGTGGCCACCGGCAGAACTGTCATTTCGTGTCGCAGCTGACCCAGAGCCCACGAAGGCTGAGATGCCGGCCCCATTGGCCAAGAGACCCCAGGAATGCCATAGCTTCTACTCTGACTCTCCAGCAGATGGCTTACTGTTTAAAATATATTGTGCTCAATATAAACTATGAATAATTGTGCATTTGGCTAAACATGTTAGTGTGAATGTGTTAACCAGTGACCTGAGGTAATAAAATGGTGGGCAACCTAGGCAGAAAGAGAGGGGAGCAGAAAGTAGGAAAACCCGAGATCTGTCTCCATACCGGCCACTCCCATGTCGTGTCTCCAGTCTCTGCTCTGCACTGCAGACACGCGGCCCGCCGCCTGCCCAGCGTTGCCACAGCCCAGCGCCCAGCCCCCCGCCCTGCACCTCCTACCCAGCACGTCCTGTCTTTCCCACCCAACAGCAGCACCTCCAGTTTTATAGCTGCTTAGTGCACAAGCCTTCGTCATCCTAGACTCCTCTGCTTCATGCTCCTTATTCAGTCTTATCAGCAAATCTGGTTGGCTCCACCTTCAAAATATTTCCAAAGTCTAACCCCCTTCTCACCGATTCATGGCTCCCATCCCAGTCCAGGCTTCCACTTATCTCTTGCCTCAGTTCAATCCAGTTCAGTTCAGTCACTCAGTCGTGTCCGACTCTTTGCGACCCCATGGACTGCAGCACCCCGGGCCTCCCTGTCCATCACCAACTCCCGGTGTTTACCCAAGTTCACAACCACTGAGTCGGTGATGCCATCCAGCCATCTTGTCCTCTGTCGTCCCCTTCTCCTCCTGCCTTCAGTCTTCCCCAGTAAGATCTCTTGCCTGACTTGCTACAAATTCCTCCCAACTGACCCCCCCACTTGCCCTCACCCCCACTTAGTCTTCGTACAAGTGACCCCTTTAAACTATGAGTCACCTCATGTCACTCCTTTGCTCAGGCACCCCCACTCCCTTCACACCCCCCTGTCCAGCCATACTGGTCCCTTAGCTCTTCCTTGCTCCAGGCAAGCTTCCACCACCACACGACACCCTGCCCTCCCCCGCCCCCTGCCATTCCATCCACCAACCCCAGGCTTCTGCTCTGCCTGCAGCGCCCTTCCCGCACAGCCGGATGGATTGCTCCCTCTTCGAGTCTTTGTTCAGATGGCATCCTCTTTGTGAGGCCTTCCCTAACCACCCTCTTTACAAATCCTAACCTCAGTCCCACCCCTGAACTGTCACTCCCCACTAGAATTCCTTAAGGGAGGGGATTTTTTTTGGTCTTGCTCACTATTAGTCTATCACAAAGCAGTTGTTCACCAAATATTTGTTGAATGAACAAGCCTGCTTTTCTTGAATGGGAGTGAAGAATCTCTAGGGTGTGATGTAGTAGTCTGGAGCCAAAACAAGTGATCATTTCAAATCGGAGCCACTGTGCAGATAAGTCCAAGCAGCTGCTGGTTACCTCCAGTTTTCACTCACACTTTCTGCTCTTACCTAGGCCTGAAGAATGCGGATGCCCCTGACCGTGAACTCTGCATCTGAGTCTCAGGACCACTGCATTGGCTCACGACCCTGAAAGGGTGTTGATCTCTCTGGTCAAGTTCGAGGTGGAATAGCGAATCCCTGTGGTGTGCCAGGTACCCTACATTCTTACATTACTTAGTCTTAGAAGTGATTTGCCTTTCCTGGAAACTGGACCAGAGAGTCGTAAGATGATAAAGACAATCGTTAATGGCCCTGTCTGCACGGGTGTCCCGTGATGTGACGGTTATATCCTCTAAACTGAATATTTTCTCCCTGAGACCTTTGTGAGGTTTGTTCAAGAAAAACATCACAGAGGTAGACGTAGAAAGACCCACTGTATGTGCCTTTACCAATGTATCTGGGCTATTCTGCCATCTTGGCCCTGGGTTTGAGGAAGTTGGTCTCTTACAGGACAGGCCTGCATGCCATCTGAGGGCTGAGCTTGCCTTGACCAGTTATAAGCTCAGCGTACCCCTCCCAGCTCCCTGACAGGCTTCTGTATCTTGCACAGTGTGGGGGGAGGGGGGGGCCTCGTGTCTGACCTGGGGACCCCTCTCCAGCAGGGAGCCTCCCAGGATGACTGTCTTGCCGAGCAACATGAACATGGTGGGAAAGTCCCGGAACTTCACGGTGGATGACTGCTTCAGCTCTCGGAACACCGTCCTAAAGGGGCAGCCCTTTGGGGGTATCCCTACTGTATTGTTCCTCAACATCACTGTGTGGGTGGTGAGTGCTGGGCACTGCGGAGGGCAAACAGAGGGGTCTCACCGGGGCACACGGTCCAGCTTTCCCAAGGGGTAAAGGGGCCCCAGCTGTCTGGGACACCAGCCACAGCGGCGGGAAGCAGCTGAATGTCAGCCTGCCCGGGGCGGGTGCGCCTTGGGGTGAGGGGGCTTCGGGTACAGCCGGATCCCTGATTCTCTCTCTTGCACCCCTGTCCGGAGGCCCCCCCTGGCCAGTGCCCTTGAACCTCCCATCTGGCCCCCTGATGGTTTCGTCAAGGAGTCTTCTTGTCTGTTGTTCTAAACGTGCCACCTTCATTCAACCAACTCTGAGCAACCACTCTGTGCCAGGATGCTGCTGGGCACTGGGCCTTGAAAAAGGCATGACCCCTACCCTGACAGAGCTGACCACTTAGAGGGGAGCCCCTGGGGCCCTCAGGGACAGTCTTCCCCTTGGGAATGCAGGGGTGAGTCGAGGGGAAGGCATCTGTGAACCCTCTTGCCCCTTTCCTGGCCCGCAGGTTATCGTCTTGGTTTACTCCTTCCTCCGGAAAGCTGCGTGGGACTACGGGCGCCTGGCTCTGCTGATACACAATGACAGGTGAGGAGGGGCTGGGGTGGGGATCGAGCTTCCTCGGGTCATGTGCTGCTGTGACCAGGGCGCGGCTCGGACCCGTGCCCAAGCTGCACAGGTGTCAGCAGATGGCATCTCATTACCACCCCCGCCCCACTCATCCCTCCCAGCACAGAGGTGACTTCCGGAGGGCAGCCCCCTCTGGACCCAAGGCCACTCTTTTCTCAGGTCTCAGACATTCTGGATCACGACTCCCCAAGAGGCCCAGAGCTGGTGTGTCTGCTCCTGGGCGGGAGGGGACCCCAGTCCTCCACCCCGGGAGTGGGCAAGACAGCGAGGCAGGCGCCTAAGAGCCTTCTCTCCTTCTCCACCTCCCCTTTCCTGGCCGGCAGTCTGACCTCACTGATCTACGGGGAGCAGAGCGAGAAGACGTCCCCCTCGGACATCTCCCTGGAGATGGAGCACAGGGACAAGGTGGGTGCTGGGGCGGGGCCTGGGCCTGGAAGGGCGGGGCCTGGGCCGGGGAGGGCGGGGCCTGGGCCTGGGAGGGCGGGGACGGGCATGCTGGCTCTGGACCGGCTGGACCGGCAGCCCCGGCATGTGCAGGAGGCATCGGGCTCCTGAGCAGGGGCCACACCAAGCGCTCCCGGCGGCGTGACCTTGGACAAATGCCTCAACCTTGCCAAGCCTGTTTCACCAGTGAAAATACAGAGATACTGACCCCAGCTGCCTCCTAGGGCGCCAAGAGAATGGCGGTGGTTAGGGCACAGAGGATAAAGGAAGCAAGGGGGCCCGCCACACGACGGGGCGGAGCTAACGCGCTCTGGGTGGCGCTCAGGGGTGGGTGGTCTTGAGCGGAACTCAGACGAGAGGTCTGGCTTGCCGTCTCCACCTGCTCACCTCTCTCACCCGTGGCTCCCACCCAGACAGCCCCAGGGTCACCCACAGCCCCACGTCACGAAGTCCAATGGACTCTCCTCGGTTCTCATCTCATCTCTCAGAGCTGCCTGAGCCTGTGGGCCACCTTCCCTTCTTGGACAGAGGAAAGCACTTCCAGCTGCTTCCGTGGCATCCTGCTGTCTGGGGTTTCCCTCTGTTGGTGTCTCCTCCACGCCGGGAGACCCACCAGCCCCAGGCCATGTCATCCACACTCACGACTTCAGTTCTACACGAAAGTGAAAGTGAAAGTCACTCAATCGGGTTCGACTCTTTGCAACCCCATGGACTGTCCATGGAATTCTCCAGGCCAGAGTACTGGAGTGGGTAGCCTTTCCCTTCTCCAGCGGATCTTCCCGACCTAGGAATCGAACTGGGGTCTCCTGCACTGTAGGCTGATTCTTTACTAACTGAGTTGTCAGGGAAGCCCCCAGTTCTACATGGATCCCTGCTAAATTCCTATCTCCAGCTAAACCTTCCTCTGAGCTCTGGCTCCATCTATCCAGTGACCTTCAAAATATTGTAAGGGCGTTTTGGATTCAATATGCTGTGATTTCTCCCACCACCACCACCACCCATCCCTGGACCCTTGGTCTCAGACTCTTCCCATCATCCACTCAGGTACGTGTCATTGCTCTCATTCAGGCCCCTGGGCATGGCCGGCTTGTCACCAAATTGTGTTGCTTGCACCTTCCCAGTTTCGTTTCTAACCACCTCTCCCACCATCCTGCAGTCCAGCCTCCATCAGTCTTTGGCTTGGATGAGCATGGTAGCCTCCAATCAATCTCTTTCAGTCCACACATGCCACCTACTCCATCCAGAGTGAGCTCCATGAACAGGGACACGGGGCCCCCTGTGTGAGTGTTCAGGGGCTTCCTAATGCTCTTGGAATCAACTGCCATGGGCTCGTGGTTGGGCTTCCCGCCCACCCGCCCGGTCTCTCTTTTCCCTCCCAGCTGCCTCGCCCTCACCGCACTGGCCGTCTTTCCGACCCTCCTTCTCGCCCCATGCCCCTCACCTGCCCTCCCCCTCCCCACTGCCCACTCCCCACTGGCCCCTTTCTGGCTAGCACACCCACGCTTTGTTCAGGTTTCAGCTCAAGCACCACTTTCCCGGGATCCTTGTCCGCTCCATCTGGATCCCGATCTCTTATGATAGCCTCATAGAAAACGCACTCCTTTCCTTCAGCACTCTTAGCCCAGACTGTGACCATTCCCCATTCTACAGTCAGCCAAGTGTGCCCACTTCACCCCTTGAGACCAGTGTTGTAGTGGTCTCACTTACCCTGTCCACCCTGTCGTGTCATTAGTATCTGATACATATTTGCTGGAGGCAGTGAGTAGGTACAACCCTATTCCTTCCATTTTCATCCCTCCGAGAGACCCGGTCCCTTTCCTTGCCAAGACCTGCCCCGGCCAGGCCAGGAGCCTCAGACAGTTCATATCTTGGAGGTTTCCTCTGTCGAATGAGGACAGTCTCGCCCACCTTGCAAGGTGATTCTCAGATCTACCTTTGGAAACATCGCTTTGGCTTTGTAGTGACTTTTTTCTGCACAGTGACATTTTATTTTAAAAATATACAGAAGATAAATCACTATGGCAGCAGTGAGGCAGTCAAACAGATGAGGGTGGAGACTGCACACAGAGGGGAGTGTGGTGAGGGGTCCCAGACAGTGGCGAGCCCCTAGCCTGGCTGAGCAGCACGAGTGAAGCCAGCCGGTCTCCCCGTAGTGCCGCAAGCAAGTCGGGACAGGTGTGGCCAGATCGGGGAGGATGGGGCCACCAAGGTGGGTCAGGACTGACCACCGAGACTCAGTCTTGTCAGCTGAGCTGGCTCCTGGGAGCCTGTGACCATTTCCTCAGGGCGGCGAGAAGAGAGAAGATACGTCTGCTTCTCAGGCCCACTGTTCAGCTGCTCAGTTTTCAGAATGGTTTATGCCTTTCAGAGCTGTGGTGTGTGTGCAGGGGAGTGTGTGTGTGTGTGTGTGAGAGAGACAGAGAAAGAGAGAACAGATCCACACATGGTCACTCACACGTCTCTTCACGAGTGTAGAGACTACACTTCTACTCATGACCTCTGCCCTCTCACTGGTGGTCCTCCGCGCCACATAACCACTAGGGTCCGTCAGCAGATGTGCCTGCTGTCTTAATGAACTGCAAGTTGGCCCAGAGGTGGGTGGTGGGGAAAGACCCTCTGTGTGGGGAGGGGTGACCAGTCTTGAGAGTCAAACCCAGTCTTGTCTAGCAATGCACCCCCTGCCTGGGACTTTCCCAGTCGCCGCTGCCACCATCATACCCTGGCTCCCTTGCTCTGCCTCATACCCAGGCTTTTACTCCTGTTTTAGTTCCCTAGGTCATAGCTAGGGGAATGATTCCCCCGATAGGCATTCCCACTGTCAACCCACCCAACACAGCGAGGAGGCCTGGAAGGTGGGCCTTTACACCAACGGTAGCAAGGCACTTCCTTTTGTTTCATGTTTACCAGCCTCTCGTTGCTTCCCTTTGGGAAATGTTCAGTCACTCAGGCGTGTCCGACTCTTTGTGAGCCCATGGATTGCAGCACGCCAGGCTTCCCTGTCCATCACCAACTCCCGGAGCTTACTCAAACTTATGTCCATCAAGTCGGTGATTCCATCCAACCATCTCATCCTCTGTTGTCCCCTTCTCCTCCTGCCTTCAATCTTTCCCAGCATCAGGGACCTTTCCAAAGAGTTGGCTTTTAGCATCAGGTGGCCAAAGTATTGGAGCTTCAGTTTCAGCATCAGTCCTTCCAGCGAATATTCCAGTGAATTTGCTTTCAAATTGACTGGTTTGATCTCCTTGCAGTCTAAGGGACTCTCAAGAGTTTTTTCCATCACCACATTTTGAATACCTATTCCCTAATCCACGTGGTTCAACTGAGAGGGCTGCTGCCCAGTTCACTGATGTGCTCGTGACCCAAATGGGGTCAGTCAGGAACTGCAACCTTTTCTAAGGTTTTGGCAAACCCTCTGGAATCCCAGAAGCAAGCATGCATCAGAGCGACTTAACCAGCTACCCCATCTGGTGGCTTTTAGAGCCACGGCCCTCTACCCATCTTACACACACAGTTCCCAAGCTGACTCCCTCTCTAGGCTTCCCCTCCCGCCGAGTCTCTGGCCAAGGCCACTTTTTCCCTTCACCCAGGAACTCCAGACAGCAGGACCCTGAGAGAAAGGCATAACTGACAGGACTCTCAGGTGCAGAAGAAACCCAGCGCAAGCTTACAGTTATAACAAAAGGGTGATGTGTGGCTTGAGTGTGGAGAAATTAGGAGGTGTCTATTTCAGATCCAGCTGGACCCAGGAAGTCCAGCATTGCTTCCAGGATCCCTCTCTGGTCCTCCCTCGTCTGACTGGGCTTTTTTCTCAGGCAGACTGCTGCGTGTGGCATCAGAGACTCGCCAAGCCCCTCCAGGCTGCCTGGTGTTGACCGGATGCAAGAACCCAGAGGAAGCCATGCCATATCAATCCCCTTAAGAGCATTCTGTTTGGCCCCACTTGGGTCATGCCCCTGTTGGTCAACTGGCAGAAGCCTTCTTGAGGGACAGCCCACTGGGCCACATGCCTGGGGGAGAGGCATTTCCCAGAATGAAGCAATGAGGGACAGACAGAAATCAACTGATGTCCACCCCGAGTCCCTTCTCTCCCTCCAGTCCAAGGCCCCCCCTCTAGGCCCCCACTTCCGGTCACAGGATGCCCAACTTCCAAAAAGACATCCCCCTCAGCTCTGATTCCTGTCCCAGCCTTGCCTGGGGAGGAAGCCCCGGAAACTGCCTCGCTGCCTTGGACGTCCCAGTGCTGAATTTCTCACACTTTCTCTCCTTTTCCCCCAGGGCTTCTATTCCTGGTTTTTCAACACCATCACCATGAAGTAAGTGCCTGAATTTTCTGAGCCGTGGGGCCTCATCTGCGGGAGGGTAGGAGGCGGGTCTCCTTCCCCACAGGACCAGACCTGGGGCCCGAACTCTGTGCCCCAGCCTCCACTCCCCACTCCCGGCTGCCCACTGCAGCCTGGCCCGGGGAAGAGGATGCTTTCCAGTTGGTGAAATGGGAACTGGAGGGTGCCCGCGGCCCATTTTCCCTCTGCCACAGTTCTCAGGAACGGACCCCTTTCACAGGCTTGTAAAAATGCTTTTATGAAGGCCACACGAGGAAAGAGAAGTCCTTCCCATGTGTTGTTTGCTTTTCTCCTGTGAACATCATTCCTCATGTTTGCCAAGATGGAAAAAACAAAAGCTACTGGAGAGAAGGGCAGGCTTTGTCTCCCAGCCTCTGTGCCCACTCTGGAGGGATAACCCCTGGCCCACCGCACCTTCTGGACCTCCTTAGTGTCAGACTCCCTTGGCAAGGAGAGAGACCCCCAGGCATCTGTCATCTCCTGATTGCCTCATCCCAACCAGACGCCTCAGCGGAGCAGAGCAGACTCTTATCAGAGCTCTCTGTCTCTACTGCATGAACACATATGTGCGTACACACTTACTCGTGTGCACACAGCTGTCTCCATCTCAGAGCCCTGTATGTTCCTGGGTGCTCCCTAAATAGCTCCCATCCAGCCTGCCCTTCTCGTCCTTTGACGCCCTCCTCCAGGGTCCAGCCTTGCCTGGGATGCCTGCCGTAGGGGCTGCCTAACTGCTCCTCAGAGGCCACTGCATAGGGGCCCACCTGGTCCTGCTCTTGTGGTTCTTTGCCAAGGCTCTTAGAACTTCTTCCATCGTGTGTCTCCAGGTCCACCATTCAAGAGCCTTGCTGGGAGCATTCAGATGTTGCCCCCAGACCCCATCTCAAACCACACGAGCTACACCAGGGCACCTCTCTTTCCCCAGATCTGGGACCCCCACGGGGGTGCAGGGCATCCTGACTGGCCCTTGGGAATCCAGAGCTGGCCTTGGGACTGGTAGTCTCTGGTGTTTGAGCCCCAGCCCTGACGGAGGACTCCCCATGGCCTTGGCCTTTTGTCTTCCTTCATCTTTCACCAGAGTCCCCAGGAAGTGATACAACTAGTTTGTGTGGGGGTTGGGACTCTTAGCCCCATGTTGGGAGAGTGGAGGGAAGACTTTTATTTCTTGGCACCTTCTCTAGTTTTGCTTTATTTTGAAAAGCATGCACAAGCTTGAATAAATACAGTTTCACTAAGAGAAACATAAAAGTTCACCTGCAGTCTCATCCATTTCATGACCCTCCCTTCCCACAGAAGCCAAAGTCCCAGGGCACAAAGCAGTCTAATAAAAAAAAAACAAAGGTTAACCAGAGACCCACGACACAGAACTTCTCATGGGAAGAGCATAACTGCTGTGCAAAAGGCATTTGGGAGAGTGATAACTTAATTCCAATGTGGGGGTTCAGAAGAAGCATGGTTTTGAGCGAGGCCTTGAAGAATGGGAAGAATTTTGGTCGTTGTGGTATGGAGGGCCCAATCAGAAATTAAGGACTGTGGAGGCAAAGATTTGGGGTGAAGATGGCAGAGAGTGTCCAGAGATGGTAAATCTTGTGGTGTGCCAGAAGCAGGAGTACATAGAAAGAGACAAGATAAAAGATTGGGCCGGAAGGATCAGTGGGAATCTTGACTGCCGTCCCGAGAATCTTGGCTTTTGATTTAGAGGCAGCAGAAAGACAGTGCCTGTTTTTGAGCAGGAAACTCAGGATGATGTCTGTCTGTGGGCAGGAGTATGAGGGGTGAATGGCAGTTGGAAGAGTCCAAAGGCAATGCAAGCAGCAAGGCTTTCCCAGTGTCCAGGTGAGGGTGGTGATGACCAGGGAGTTGACGTGGAGGAGACATGGGGAGGGAGGCTCTGGGCGACCGTCAGTGGGTCATGGTTTCCACCTGGCTTCCACCTGGTCAGGAAAGAGAGAAGTCGAGGTCTTGTTTCTGGAGAGGATGGTGATACCATTAGGTGGAAGGTGAGGAGATATAATGAGTTGGGAAATGGATAACACAGAACCAGGGCGAGCATGGGAATTGATGGTCAAGCTATTGAAAAACAGAAATAAAGCTTAGGAGAAGGGTTGGAGCTAGAAATTTAGACTTGGGATATGGGAGTGGAGAGGTCGTGGTTGAAGTCGTGGGAGCAAGTGGTTCACCCAAGGGCGCAAAACCAGAAAAGGCCCAAGGGAGAGAGTGGCTGGGGCAGAGGGAAAAGGCAACATCCTTTAGGGCAGCAGCTCGCTGTAACCAGAGAGGCGTGAGGCTCCAGACAGGGTGCAGCCTCCAACCCTGCGAGCTGGGCTAGAATGAGTGCTCAGGAAAGGACGTCGGCTTTGAAGACTTGGGTCTCCCCTGGGAGGACAGGTCTGGGATAAGGAGACGTCCGAGGAGTAGGGGCTGAGAAAGGAAGTCACCTTTTTTCAAGATGTGGGTAGGACAGGGATGTAAGGATATTGGATGGAACTCGAAGGGAAGCTGGTGAAGGAGTAGATGCTTGAGGAGCTTCTCGGGTTTTTCTAAGACTGAAAAATGGGCATTTGAACCTGGCTGTCGTTGAAAGGGAAGAAGTCGGGGTGGCTGTATAGAGAGGAGGTGTTAAAGGTGAAAGAGAAGGACGCCAGGTGCAGCGAGTCTCCAGTAAGAGGTAGAGGAGAGGAAGCGATTCGAGCAGAGACAAGAATTAATCATGAGTAGGAGAGAGGGTGGTGCCTGAAACGTCATGGGGGCCGCACTTTAAAGAGCGGTGGGAGGACAGAATTGAATAGAGGAATATAGATAGGCTCAAAAATTCAGGCTTCCCTTGGAACTGTAACATAGGCCGCTGAGTATAACCTGGCACTTCTGGTGCAGATGGAGCAATGAGCCCAGTAGGGGCAGAGGGAATTGCCAGCCCAGAAACGAAATTCTTGTGTTCTCGGTCCCGTCCAGCCCTCTGCTCTTGCTATCTGATTGGAGGCTCTCACCCTGCCTCAGGCACACTATTTATATCATGTGAGCAGATCTGAGCACCACAGGCCTGCAGGGGGACATTCCCCCCATTCTCCCTTCTCATCACTCCTTATCCACCCCATTCTTGAGATTTAATTCTCAAATGTAGGGCAGGAAGTGTTTTAACAACTTGAAGTTTAAAAAAAAGGTTGAGAGCTCTAAATAATTACTAAAATGGTGATACTGAAAGCCTTGAAGATATGCTGTACATTGTAGTATTGTTGAAAAATAAATTCTGAATATTGGACTGAATGCTATAAGTTGCATACCACCTTCAAGTCTGATCAGAGGGCAAGGGTGAGTAAACCATGGTATGTCCAACAATGGGGGTGGGGCAGGTGTGCACCTTGGGGCTAAGTGTGAACTAATTATCCACAAACAGGCCATTGTCACCATTATTACTGTGCAGTCATAAAAATACTTAGACAAAATATTAAACTGTCAGAAAACACTTAAGATTAAATGCTAAATGAAAGAAAGTGGGGAAAAAGTGAAAGTTAGTCACTCAAGTTGTGTCTGATTCTTTGTGACCCCATGGACTGTAGCCCACCAGGCTCCTCTGTCCATGAAATTCTCCACATGAGAATCCTGGAATGGGTAGCCATTCCCTTCTCCAGAGTATCTTCCTGACCTGGGGATCAAACCAATGTGGGTCTCTCACATTGCAGGCAGATTCTTTATCGTCTGAACCACCAAATGCTGTTTATACTACAGTCACTAAGTTAATCCAGTAATAATAATAAGAAACTAAAGGAAATTGACCAAAATGATTAATACCCATTGTCTTAGGTTTGATGAGATTGTAGGTGAATGATTTTATTCTTTCGTATTTTCCAAAGTTTCTATTATAATCATGTGTTGCTTTTAAAATTTTTAATTGGAGTTAACACACATGCAGAGACATGCCCAAAAAATAAATGTCCTGCTCAATTATCACAGCCGCCCTCCTGATAAAGAATTAGAGCATTGCCAAGACCCCAGAAGCTCTCCTCCTGTTCCCTTCCAATCTCCTTGTACCTCCCTGCTCTTCAGAGGGAACCAGCATCCTGACTTCTAACTCTTCAGTTCAGTATTGCCTATTTTTGAACTTTGTATGTGAAATGATGTGGCATGTATTGTTTGTGTCTGCCCTCTTTCACTCAACATCGCATTTGTGGAGTTCAGCTGTGGTCATTTATTTTTACCTCTGTATAGTATTTCATTACATGTATGTATAATGTGATGTATATAGCTCACTGCGCGTATATTTCAATTCCTGTGTCCGTACCACCTTTGACAGACATTTAGGTTGTTTACAGTTTGGGGCCGTTACAAATAATGCATCTCTGAGATTCTCATCCTTGTCTCTTAATGCCCAGGTGCGTGTATTTCTGTTGGTTATAAACCTAGGAGTGGAATTGTTAGGCCATAGGGTGTACATATAGCCAGTTTCTATAGATAATGTCAACTCTTATCCAAAGTGGCCATGCCGGAGTCAGTACCCATGAGTGTGAGAGAGCTCCCAGCACCCTATACCCTCACCAGCACCTCTTCCCAGCACTTCCCTCACCAACTTTCCAATGCTGACCAGTCTGGCAGTATGGAGTGATAGCTCATTGTGGTTTTAAGTAGCCCTTTTTGATTTAAGGAGCAGCTTTTTGAAAAAATAGGATGAATCTTGTTATCACTAACGGTCTGTTCAGTGCTGGTACCATGGCAGGCAGTAGGAATGTTTGAAGAAGCAATAAAAGAGGAAATCAATGCCTGATTTAAGAGTGCTTCTGGATTCCCAAGTGCGTTATCTGCAGCCTCTTTCTTTGATGTGCCTGTGAAATTCAGTGAAACCCATTTCGGGCCTAACAAGTTTTGAGAAGAGGGATGTTTCTGAAGATGAAGATGTGGGCGTGGGGCGGTCATCTCCTCTCCCTCTGCTCCCTCCGCCCCTGACCTGAGTTGTGGCCACACTGGCTCCTGAGCAGTGTCCCCATCTCTGTGTCTCCTCCAGGAACGAAGACCTGATTAGCAGGTGTGGAGACGACGCCCGGATCTACATCATGTTCCAGTACCACCTCATCGTCTTTCTGCTCATCCTCTGCATCCCCTCCTTGGGTATCATCTTGCCCATCAACTACAGTGGAGATGTTCTGGGTAGGCAGAGCTCTGTGGACCCTGGGCCCGGCCCGCTGGGCCTAAGAGGCAGCCCGGCTGGCTTGGGCATCTCGAACCCTAACTCCTAGTTGCACTTCTGAGGGTTAGTTATGGGACCTTAGGCAACCCGGGCTTCCGGTTCCAAGTGGAAACCAGAGGTGATACCTCTCTGGGTACCAATTTGGCCCAGGGCCTGGTGCAGAGAAGGCAGATAGTAGTAATTCAGTCTAAAACCGAATGTTTATCCATGGTCCATGGCCCACACTGTACCTGGCCAGGTGTTCGTGGAGGCCTTGTTATGGCGTGTGACCCACTGCCAAGATCCCTGGACCAGATCTCTCGCTGTACCCACTCTGGTGGACGCAGTGTCGTAGGGGCAGAATTTCTCATCTGAAGTCGATCAACATTTCTCCTAACAGGGTAGATTTTGACACAGTAGTGTGGTGGGTGAGGGCTTGGCCTTCAGAGACTGAAAACGGTTCCCCACCATTTACCCACGTCTGCTTCCCAGATTATTTCATCTTACACAGTGTCCCCAGTCCTCGGCTTCCTCAACAGTCATAGGGATCGAGAGACAATGCATGTCACGTGCTTCGCACGCTGCCTGTAGTGGGTGCTCAGTGAATAGCAGCCAGTATTTCACTAGTGAGTGCAGAGACAGAGCTGAATGAGGGCCGTACAACTAGGTGGTGTGTAAATGTCCAGACGGCAGCCAGGTGTACCCTGATCGCTCAGGTTTCTAGCTGTTTCTCCTCAGCCCTCTTGCTCGCGCTCACTCACTTCAGTCTTGTCTGACTTTTTGCGACCTCATGGACTGTAGCCCGCCAGGCTCCTCTGTCCATGGGGATTCTCCAGGCAAGAATACTAGACCAGGTTGCCATTTCTTACTCCAGGGGATCTTCCCGACCCAGGGATGGAACCCTTGTCCCTTGCATCTCCTGCTACAAGCTCTGGGGAGCTAAAAGGGAGCGCAGGATATAGGCAAGCATTTCTAGGCCCCAGGCATTCACTCGGGAACCCTAAGGTCTGGTGCCCAACCAGTCAAGGAGCCAGGCTTGAGGTTGGCAACTTTCTTCTCTTTCAGACCGGGATAGTCACTTTGGCCGGACCACCATTGTCAATGTCTCCACAGAGTAGGTACCTGATCCTCTTACCTCCCGTTCTACTGGCTGGGTCAGGGGAGGGGGTGGATGTTGGTGGGGAGAGGTGGTCAGACGGTGAGTCTAAAACATGGGCTCCTCTTTGCTGACAAGAAAGGCCTGGTTTCTTTGGGAACCCAGGTCCCAAGTGGGACGCCAGACACTGCCTTCTCTTCGTGAGGAAGTGTTCTCGCTGCCTCCGAGTCTCCATCTGTCATGGATGGAACTAGCTAAACCAGTCACTCCTGAAGTCTCAGCAAGGTGGTCCTGTTTGCTTGGTATATCTAGCTCCCGATAGGCTGTAATAAATGGAGGTTTAAGGTACTGCTTCCTCTGCCCACAAAAGAGTTCAGGTCAGGCCTCAGGGAACCGAGTGAAGGGCAGACCTGATGCCCAGGGCTGCGAGACTGAGGAACCAGAGGAGCTGGGTTCCTGCCCCGGCTCTGCGGTTAGCCGGCCCTGGGTCTGGGGCAGGGCGCCCTCTTCCTGTGAGCTTCATCCCTCGTCCGTGGTGGGGGAAAGGCTGTTGGACGTGAGTTCTAAGGCCCGTCCAGCCCTCGTGGTTCAGGAGCCTGTGGGCGTTAATGTCAGCCAACCCCTCTGGTGGCCAGAGCAATCTGCAGGAGCCAGACGCGGCCCTGCTGGTCCTGGCCAAGACCACAGGCCCCCCAGGGCTCGTGGCCAGCCTCCCGACAGAGCGGAAGCAGCCTTTCCGGCAGGTGTGAGTGGGCATGCCCACTCCTAACCCCACCTCCCTTTACCCCACCCCATCTTCTGACCCTGCGCCCCTGCAAACCCCACCAAACTCCCAAAGCAGCAGAAAGGCTGGGCACCCTCTCGCCAACTCCGCCCCGGCTGCTGGCGGCGCCAGCGCAGAGCTTAACCAGCTTCTCACCGGCCAGTCGCTGGTGTAAGTGTGGTGCCCACAACTTCCAACAAGAAGTGAAGTCTGATAGGGCAGCCAAGAGCCCCTTCAACTTTCCTAAATCCAGAGAGTTGTTGGAGTGTCGCTCAGGGACCATGACACCTTGCCCTCACTGAGAAAACTGAGAGAGGCATTTAGCCAGATGGGGAAAGTTAAGTGAAATGCCAGGCGGAGGAGGTGGGGGGGACAGTGATGAGGAGATATTTTGAAGCCAGGCAGCCTCTCTGTCCTCAAACTGCACCAAATAAGGCAGGCCCTGTTTCTGAGCAGCCTTCCTAGCCTGGTGCCTTGGGACAGCTTCATGTAAGTGCAGAGCCCTGGGACCCAAACCCTTCCTGCCCCAGGGAGGTGAGCCGAATCTGCAGGCCCTCCTTCCTCCAGGCCTGCTCTGCTTGGCCTCGTGGTAGACTATGCAGTGACGGGGGTGGAGGGGGTGTGTGTGGGGGGGGTGGGGGTTGGGCAGGGGGCAACACGACACGGTATGCAGAGTGTAAGTGCTTCTGCAGTTCTGGGCTCCCCTCCTGGGACCGCCACAGCCAAGAGTGGCCTTGGGCAGGCACTCTGGCCCTTGTTTCCCTACGAGTAAAATGAAGACATTCACAGCACCATGCTCACATGGTCCAAGAGTCTAGCAAGAAAATGTACACAGAGCATCTGCTCCCACCCTGGGTCTGGCATATAGTGAACACTCGATCAACGCTAGCCTTCATTCGTTGGAGCAGACAGCCCCTTCTCCATCCCCTTCCAAGGTGCCTGAGTGTCTGGAGGCACCGGAGGGTGGCCCTGGGGAGGTGGGAGGGGTTGGGGGTGGGGGTCTCACACCTCCCGTGTCTCATTCTTGGCAGGAGTAAGTTCCTGTGGCTACACAGCTTCTTCACTTTCTTATACTTCATCACCAACCTCCTCTTCATGATGCACCACTGCTTAGGATTTGTGCCCAGGAAAAGCTACGCGGTGAGTAAGTGAAAAGAACTACCAGGACCACGCCCTCTCGCCTAGAGTCCCTCTCGGCCCCCACCAGCCGGACCATCCCACTCCCGGTCTTCAGAAGCATCCCAGTTTATCGTGGTCTGCACACCCCTGGGGGGCAGTCCGCCCGAGCAGGGAGGCCTCCTCTGCTTATCCCTGGGAATTGTCACCTGGCACATCCGTCTGGGCTGTGAAACCACTGAGACCCTCCCAAACCAGCTGGTGAATAGCTGCCCCCAAGTACGTCCTCCCGCTATACCCCTGCTGCCCGGGACCCTCTCCAGGGACCCCTGGACCTCCCCACCACTGGAAAACTGAAGGCTTAACTGTAGTAGGGGGACCTCCACCCTCAGCGGCCAGTGCCCCCAGTGGATAGATACTTTGACTACTTTGCCACTCTTGCGTCCAACTCCTGGCCCTTCCACCATCTCCCTGAGGTCAGAAATGCATGGCTTTGTGTCCTCACTGTCTTGGTTTGTCTTTCTCCCATCCCACCTCCCAAGCAGACCCTGAGACAAGGATTTGAGTAGCGTTCACTTATTTGGGAGGTGATCCCAGGAAGGCTCACTAGGCAGATAGGGCCTCCTAGGGGGAGGGAAGACGGCAGATAAAAGAGAGATGGGCTCCTTCAAGCCATCCATCCTAAAGGACAGATTCCCTTTACCACATCCCAGAACACAACTGCACACACCTCTGAAAGGTAACCCTGAGTGTCTCAGCCTGCCAGGAGGCTTGGGCACTCCTGGCCCATCTGGACTCGGCCACATCAGCTTTCTGTCTTGTCACCAGAAGCTTCCAGACTCCCCTCTCTAGCAGCACAGTTTACAGATGGTTGCCTCAAAGCGATGGCTCAGGAAGACATGTCCCACTCACAGAGTAACATGTGAACTTTGAAGAGCTTCCCCATTCATCTTCCAACTCCCATCCCCAGTCTGATGATAGGGATGTCCCCTTGAGGTGGGCGTCACGTGGAACATGGAGACCAGAGGTCAGCAAGACAGCATGAGCTGCCCCTGCAGACCATGGAGCTCTGGTCCTCCCCCAGCCCTCCACCTCTCCCTTCAGCCTCTGACTCTTCCTCCCCTGACTACAGCCATCCGTGGCAAGGGGTCTCCCGGCGGGGGCGGGGGGGTGGTGGCGGGTGGCACAGGGGTTCACAGAGCTAGAGCTTGCCTGCCTGCTGACCTCAGGGACGGGGGCTGGGTGGGAAAGCTGGCACCTGGCTTACCCAGCAAGGAGGCGGCCTGATGTGAGTAGACGACCTGCCCCAGGTGGTTGAGGGCCACCGGAAGGCCCAGGATTCCTGCATGAGCAGCCTTCTTTCTCCACTGACCTTCCCCACTTAGGTCACCAGGACACTAATGATCACCTATGTCCCCACGGACATCCAAGACCCAGAGATCATCATTAAGCATTTTCAGTAAGTGGGGCGGGGTGGGCTGAGGCATGGGTTGCCTCCTCCTGGTCACCCTCCAGCCATGGTGCCCAGTCTAGAGCAGGTCATCTTATCTTCTGTCCCTTCTGTGACCTGAGGGCCAAACACTAGAAGCTAATTATCTGTCCATGAGCAGCGATGTCCAGCTCTGCTCCCTGGCCCTGTTCTGTGTCATCTGGGAAGGATGTGGCAACTCTCTCATTAACAGGGACCAATCCTGATGTCCAGGCTTAGGAGCCAGGGGGTGGATTCTACCACCCAAGCACTGGGAAACCCTGGCAGCTGTGCCCTTCAGCCCTGTGGGCTATAGCTCTAGGGGAAGGGGGAGTCTCCTCCGCGGGCTGGCTCATTATCTTTGTTCCTGGCTTCAGCGAGGCCTACCCAGGGTGCGTAGTGACCAGAGTCCACTTCTGCTATGACGTCAGGAACCTGATTGACTTGGACGATCAGAGGTGAGCCTGTGGCAGGACCTGTCTGGATTTGGGGAGAGGAGGGAAGGGGAGGCTGTGGCTCTGCTGGCCTCCGGCGAGACTCTTTACCATGTCGCCTGTTGGCTGGCAGGCGCCACGCGATGCGGGGCCGGCTCTACTACACTGCCAAGGCCAAGAAGAAGGGGAAGGTGATGATCAAGGTCCACCCCTGCTCCCGGCTGTGCTTCTGCAGGTGCTGGGCTTGCTTCAAAGAGGTAACTGGCGCAGGCATCAGGGGCTGGGGCACCGGGGCTCCAGGCTCCGCCAACGGCCCCTGGCGGTACTCCAGGGCTGCATCCTTGGGTCGCAGACTCCACTCAGAGCCGCGTTCTCCTTTCTGGCATGTCCTGTCTCCCTGTTGAGAAGGCAGAGGAGCCTTTCTCTGGGCCTCCCCCTCCCAGAGTGATCCAGGCAGGGGCTGGTTCTTGCTCCCTTTGGGGCTTGGTGGGGAGGACCAGCAAGGACACAGCAGGCTGCCAAGCCTCCGGGGTTCACAGAGCTGGGGCGGGAACATTTGAAAGCCATGGTCTCCATCTTATCACCCCGCCCATGTGGCTAGAAGGAGGCCTTGGCAGGACTGAACTCATCTAGCCAGTTCAGAAAAAAAGCATGATTCCCTCGCCTGAAAAGGCTGCAGGCACATTCTGTCGCTCCTCCAGTGTCCACCCTGAGGCCAAAGGCACCCCCTTGCCCCTGGGGAAGCCTCCCTTTCCCCAGATCTAAGAGCAGGGAGCTTGTTTCAGAGTCACTGTCTCTTCCTCCTGGAGAGCTGGGACCTGGGAGCCCACCTGGGGGCCTGAGCTTTTTTGCCAGGTTTCCCAGGGAGCTGGGGATGGAACCAAGACCCCACCCCCCACCCCCCACACACACCGGCCTGCGCCCCGCGGGGAGAGAGGCGGCCTTCCTGGAGCCCTGACGGCTCCAGCTCTGACGGCCGCGTCCCGCCCCCTCTAGGTGGACGCAGAACAGTACTACAGCGAGCTGGAGGAGCAGCTGACTGATGAATTCAACGCTGAGCTCAACCGCGCGCGACTGAACCGTCTGGACCTGATCTTCGTCACCTTCCAGGACTCCAGGATGACGAAGCAGTGAGTGCCGGGCTGGGGTAGGGGGTGGGGGGCAGCTGCTTGCTGCGCCCAGCCCGGCCCCAGGAGCGGGCCTCTGCTTCTCCGAATCCATCCTTTCCCACCCGCATTGCAGCCGAGGGGAGGAAGGGAGAGCGCCTCCCACCGGCGAGCCGCGCTCTGCCCTCTTCTCCGGCCCCGCCATGGGCACCGCAGCCGCCATCTTGCTTTCCAGAGCATGGCCGCGTGCGTCTTCCCCCAGCTGCCGGGCGCGGCTTGTCTCCAGACACGCCCAGCCCTGGGCTTCTCACCCCCGTATGTCCTTGCTTCAGCCCAGAAGTGGTCAGCGTAGTCCTTGACCTCTTGGTTCCTCTTCCAGGCCTTGACACGAATGATACCCATTTTCCGCCCCTCATTTCCCATCGCCCCTCCGTCACCCGTCCCGTCACCGCGAGTGACAGAGTCAGAGGACCCAACTGCCGTTCCTGCTCTCCTCTCCTGCAAGCCTTCTCTGTTTCATAGCTTTGCAGGCTCCTCCCTCCTCTGCCCCAGCCACTGGCAGCCCCATCTTGATAAGGAATGGATGAGGTCCGCTCTGGAATGTTCTGGAAAGAATCTTAGGCCTGGGTCAAATACATAGGAGCCTCAAAAATCAGTCTTTTGAGGACGATGGAGCCATCCTCTCCCGCAGGGAGCCTGACCGTTCACAAGGCTTTGGTCTCACCCTCCCTGACCCTGCAGAGGAACAGTGGCATAGGCTAGAATTCAGGGCAAACAGAGCAAGTGCAATTTTGCAAGTTAGTTACACCCTCAAGTTTCTTATTCATCAAATTTGGTTACTTATATCTTCCTTGTCCACCTCCTGGAAGGGTAAGAAGGAATATGTGTTCTGTTTAGTGTGTGTGAGACATCTACATATCTTTCTGAGAACCATCATTTGGTAGAGAGGGAGCTAAGGTTTAATTACAGCAGGTCTGAGTTACGAACCCACGATGGGACTGCAGTGCCAGCACCTGCCCCTCTTTGGCTGTGCCGTCAGTAATCTATGCAGTTAAGATGATGGGACTCACCAGTTAGCTCCATGTCAGGCACTGGGTGGAACTCAACAGTGGGTAGCTATTGATATTAAGAGGAGGCTAAATGAGTACCTCCCCTGTCACCCTCGCGGAAAGAGCATGTATTTGTGCTGTGACTACCATTAGGGGGACAAAACGTGAACTGAGAACTACGTGGTCCCCTCTTTTCCTGGGCAGTCCATCCCTCTAACGCCCTTTCCTCCAGTGACCAGGCCTGAGGAACGGCCCACCTAGAAGGTCAGGAGAGATATATCCAAGTCTCCAAGAGTTCCTCACCCCCAGACTTCTGTCTCCTCCCCCGTCTCCGCAGCATTCTGCAGGATTACAAGTTCATTCACTGTGGGATGTCCCCCAAAGAGTCCTCAGTGACCACCATCGTCAAATCCTACCAGTGGAGGGTAGTCCGTGCCCCACACCCCAAAGAAATTATTTGGTAAGCCCCCTCTGTCTGTCTGCTCTCCCTTGAGCTCCTTTGGGATGGAAGAAGGCTGTAGGATGAGGAAAAGAATCAGGGCCTGTCCTACTCTTTCACATATGACCCCTGCTGGGCTGTGTCTCTCCTAGGCATCACAGCCTCTGCCCGCCCCCAAGCCCACCCCACCACAAGCACAGAAGGCACCCAGCCTTTGGGGAAAAGGTTTTTCCTGTGGAAAGAATTCAGATAATTCTTTTGGCTCACCTGTGGGATGTATTCAGGGCCTTACCAGTGGCGTGATAGGAGAAGGCTTAGGGCTGTCGCATGCAGGCATGGGCCCGCAGGGTTGAATTAGACCAGGGAAGGCTGGTCCACAGCTGGCACGCAGGAAGCAGCGTGGCTGTGTCTGTGGGCTGAGACCCAAGGTCCTAAGTGCGTCTCCCTCCTCCATCCCACCCAGGAAACACCTGTCCGTCCGCCGCTTCCATTGGTGGGCCCGCTTTATCGCAATCAACACCTTCCTCTTCTTCCTCTTCTTCTTCCTCACCACGCCTGCCATCATCATCAACACCATCGACTTGTACAACGTCACCCGCCCCATCGAGAATTTGCAGGTGCCTCCACGCAGGCTAAGCATGGGGGCCCCCCGGGAGAAAAAGGAAGAGCTCCGGCGAGGATGGGATGGGGGGCCCACTGAGGCATGACTCCAGAGCGCATGCAGTTGTGGCCCTGGCAGCGGCGTACGTGGGGGCCCAGGGTCTCCTTTGCCCTAAAGAGGATGCGTGTGGACCACTGCCCTTCTTAGGGACTAGGGCTAAAGGGTAGGGGTGCCTTAGGCAAGTTCTGGGGGGAATTTGGGGGGATGGGCTTGGAGGGCTTCTTTAGATTGGGTCAAGCTAGAGGCACCAAAGAGCCGCAGAGGGTGGGGCGTTCATGACAGCTCCATTCACCCCACGTTCTCTAGAGCTGAGGTCCTTGGTGTGAAGATAAGGCGAGGGTGGGGAAGATGGAGGTTAGTTCTAGGGCAGCCCTTCAAGAGGAGCAGGCCCTCTGGCTCTGGTTCCACTGCCTCACTTCTGGACACACAGACCCCAGGTTGGTCCACAAGAGCAGTCCCTGCCGTATGCATAGAGGAGTTCCGAGGAACTGGATGGGCCCATATCCAAGTTCTGTAGCCTCAAGGCTCTTGCAGTGATCCTAGAAGGTCCCTTCTTTCATGTTATCCTCATGCCTGTTCCAGCAGAACACACGCAGGCACGCACACACAGCACACATGTACGTGCACATGCACACACACACACACACACACCCACGCAGTGATCCTAGAAAGCCCCTTCTTTCATGTTATCCCCATGCCTATTCCAGCAAAAAACACACAGGCATGCACACACACGTGCACATGCAACACACACGCATGCACACACATGCACATACATGCACACTTGCAATGATCCTAGAAGGCCCCTTCTTTCATGTTATCCCCATGCCTGTTCCAGCAAAACACACGCAGGCACACACACACATGTGTACATGCAGCACATGCACACACACGCACACACACACACACACTTGCAGTGATCCTAGAAGGCCCCTTCTTTCATGTTATCCCCATGCCTGTTCCAGCAAAACACACGCAGGCATGCACACACACACACACACACATGCACACACTCGCACACTTGCAATGATCCTAGAAGGCCCTTTCTTTCATGTTATCTTCGTGTCTGTTCCAGCAAAACACATGTAGGCACACACGTGCACACACAGCACACATGCATGCACCCATAGGCACACTTGCAGTGACCCTAGAAGGCCCCTTCTTTCATGTTATCTTCGTGTCTGTTCCAGCAAAACACACACAGGCACACACACACGTGCACACTCAGCACACATATGCATGCACACACATGCACACACATGCACACAGTCAAGCCGAGCCCTTGTGCTGCTGCTTCCCATTGCTCCCCTCCTCTGTCAGCTTCACAACAGGCCCCAGGCCGGGGCACCACAGCTCTGCCCGGGGATTCTCACACCATACCCTCACCTTCTCCACCATGTCTCACACAACATCGTGGTAAAAGCAGTGTCTCCTCCCTAAAGTCTGAGTGTCTCCTCCCTGAGTGACAGCAGGTGGCTGTGGCCTTGGGGCCAAGTCGGTGGGGTCAGCCTATGCCGTCCCTCCAGTGACCTCAGCATAGGAGGCCTGCACCCCTTGGGGATGCCCCTTGACCTTGAGGTGTCAGCCTCCGGCTGCCCCAGCCAGGCAGATTCTGAGTGAGAAAGGCCCCAGCCCACTGTGCAGCCTCAGGGACATGAGGCCTGCTCTGGGACTGAGCTGGAGAAGTGGCCAGAGGTGTGGGAGAAGGCAGGGGAGGCCTGTGAGGGGGAGGGGGCTTCTTGCATTGACGTCTCTCTGGCCCCCCTCCATCCACCCGTACAGAGCCCCATCGTGACCCAGTTCTTCCCCTCTGTGCTGCTCTGGGCCTTTACGGTGACACTGCCTCTGATCGTCTATCTCTCCGCCTTCCTTGAAGCCCACTGGACCAGGTGAGCTGGGGGCCTCCCCTCTTATCCTGCCCTTGGCACCAGCTTCTTCCCCTGCTCCCCCGTCCCCACCAGCCCGGTGCTCCAGCTTCCCATCTCACCTGGGGAATGGAATTGATGCGGGATGGCTTTATGCCCAAAACCAACCCAAAAAAGTAACAGATACTTTTGTCTTTGAAAAGCAGGGACTGGTTTGTCTCAGGGATGCTGAGATACCTGAAACCAAGCCCTCCTCAGGCTGCTCCCTCATCTTCCAGCCACGCACTGAGGGCCTGGAGCCGTGGGCAGAAATGGCCAGTGCCAGGAATGCCAGGGAGAGGGCGGAGGATGGGAGCAAGAGAGCAGGACTTGTCTGAAAATTGTCAGAAGGGCTGCTACGGTCATCACAGAGGAGCCCATGCCCTCGATCTGACTGAAGACCTGTGTAGCCCATACAGTGCCGTATTTTAAACAGTCAAAGAGCCCCTCCTTGTTTGTTAGCTCTAATAGTTCTGTGGTGGGAGCTAATTAGTTAGGAAGTATTTACTATATCTTGGGGCAAAATGGACCTGCTCTGGACTGAAGGCTGCATGGGTCTCAGAAGTTATTTCCTGCCCCCAAAGTTTCTATCATCCTATCAGGCAGTAAGCCAGGATGTTTCTCACAACAGAAATCCTTCCTGGGTTTTCCTACGGCCAAGGCTTATGTTGCCTATTGAACCGCTGCAAGGATTCTGAGTATTGTTAGTGATGTCCCTGCAACAGGGGCGTCAAGTGCATGGTATGTGTGAGCCTTCCCTCCCCTTTCCTCCGCCCAAGGCAGACATCACTAGTTGATCACGCCGTTCTTTTCCTGCTGCCCCCAGACTCAGCACGGCCCTCAGTGCCCCGTGGAGATGGCTTTGGCGCACGCTACGAAACTGTTTTCTAGCCCAGGTAGCCATCTCTCTCTCTCCATTCTGCAGTCCCCCATTTGGGTCTTATCATGTCTCTCCTTGCTTCCTTCTAGGTCAAGTCAGAATCTGATCATGGTGCACAAGTGCTATATCTTTCTGGTGTTCATGGTGGTCATTCTGCCCTCTATGGGACTGACCAGGTACCTCACCTCCAAATACCTCTCCTCTCTCAGCCAGGCTCACCCTAGAGTCGGAACCTCCTCCTTCAGATACTGTAGGCCCACCTGTGGTTGCTGCAAATCCATTCCTCAAATGACAGTCCAGTGCCTGTCATGAGCCTAGCATGAGCCAGATACCATGTGAACTCTAAGCTGTCAGCCATGAACTCTGCCCTCAAAGTGCTTTTCATCCAGCTGGGGAGACAAGCCATACCTACCAGCTGCCTGGCAGCCCGAGGTGGGGAAAATGTGCAGTAGAAATTCAGAAGAGGGAGAGAGTGCTGTGGGAGAAATGGCTGGCAAAGGTTTCCTAGAGGGGAGGCCTTGAGTGGAAAGGTCAAAGATTTAGGGGCAGGGTGGCCCAGGATTAGGAAGAGAGGCAGTGTGGACTGGCCAGCTGGAGTATTGAGGTGCGAGAATCTGCAGGGAGTAGGCAAGGGAGGTTGGAAGGAGGGGAACCAGCCCAAGAGAAACAACCCCAGGCCTTAGTTCATCGATTCACTAACTGCAGGGTCTGCTTTATTCTTGTTTCTAGTTTGGATGTCTTTTTCCGCTGGCTCTTTGACATCTACTATCTGGAGCAGGCCTCCGTCAGGTTCCAGTGAGTACTAGCATACATGTTTCAGGTGTACTCCCAGTGTTCACGCGGCTTTTGTGGGTTCATACCAGCTGGATATGCGTATCCTTTATCTGCTCATATAGGTAGAGATGAATGCATGCCCACACTCTCATTAGGCAGCCTCTTAACGTTTCTCGTGCCATGAACCCTTTTGGGGGTAAAGCCCAGGGATGACTCCTCTGAATGAAGTTTTTAAAATAATTGTAGATTCAAAGGATGTTGCCAAAAAAAAAAAAATAATTCCTATATACCCTTCATCTAGTTTCCCCCAGTGGTCACATCTTGCATGACTAAGGTACAGTATCAAAACCAGGGAAGTAATATCGATACAATCCACAGAGCGTATTCAGATTTTGCCAGTTTTATATATACTCTGAGTAGATTTCTTATGTGTATATTTTTTAATTGGAAGGTAATTGCTGTACAATGTTGGGTTGATTCTGATTAGATTTCTTTTTAAAAAATTATTTATTTTTGGCTGTGCTGCGTCCTCACTGCTGCAAGGGCTTATCTCTAGTCTGAGAGTGGGGGCTGCTCTTTGTTGCAGCGCAGGCTTCTCATTGCAGTGGTTTCTCTTGTTGAGGAGCACGGGCTCTAGGATTCGGGTGTCAGTAGTTGTGGCAAGTGGGCTCAGAAGTTGTGGTTCCCTGGCTCTAGAGTACAGGCTCAATAGTTAAGATGCATGGCTTAGTCGCTCCGGGCCATGTGGGATCTTCCTGGACCAGGAACTGAACCCATGTCTCTTGAATTGGCAGGCAGATTCTTTACCACTGAGCCACCCAGGAAGCCCAGAGTTCTTTAAATGTACAAAATAGCTGGGCTATAATGAAAACCAGTTGTGTCAAAATATAGTTACCGAAAATATTTTAGAATTCAAATGTATGATACAATTGACGCATTTAATAATAGGCCAATGTATTCTAAATGGAAGCAAGCAAAAGTTACATTTTATTGTTTTAAAGGCATCCATGTGAAAGCTGATGTTACTTAGCTAAAAGAAAAATATTCAACTGGAACAGAGGAGTGGATTTTTGACAAGGCAACATGCAGGTCTTGTTGGACATCCAGCCAGTTTCTTTTTTTGTTTGGCTTTGTTTTGTTTTTAGGGTTACAAATGTTGAAAGTCCCAATTTTTCAAAGATGTGCTGTTGGCCAATGCCATGCAAGCTTTCATAGCTTGCTTTATAGGGAAAGAACCAGAATTCTCCAAGCTTTCTACAATTAAACTGTAATGGTAATAAGCTTAGTTTCTCCCAAGATGAGTGAGTTCATCTTTGGCTAGGTCATTATTTTTAATACAGTTTGTAAATATATGAGAAAGAAAAGAATTGTGAGTTCCTGACTCAACTTTGATGCCCTCAAGATTAGCTTTTGAAGGAGTTCTGAAATATGTGCAGGGGCTCACAGATTTTCTTCTTGAGGGAGTTGTCAAAACTGTATAGACGACAGAGATGCTTGGGTCACCACTGTGAGAACAGGCAGTGTGATAAATCCATTCAGGTGGCTGAATGGCTCTTAGTTGAAGTTGGCCAGCTAGCTACACATGTACAGACAGGAAAATCTCAATCATGTGAATTTAACATGTCTAATTTAGTGGCCTAATAACTAGCATCATTTTGAAGAGATGAGTGCAAATGATATTGTGAGAGATCAGCAATAAATACAACATGATATGAAAATACCTCACTTCAACTGGTGACAGACTCACAGCTGTAGCTGACATGCCTGTGACTTGTTGCCCACGCTCTTAATGGAAGGAAGTGCTAAACTGCAGAAAGTGAAGATGCAATCTTTTCCCTATTCAAGGTCACAGACCCCCAAAAGTCTACCTGTGAACTCTCCAGGGTCTGTGGATCCAGTCAAACAGCCCTTCTTTATTTTTGTTTTCTTTAACAGCCCTTCTGTAGATCAAGCCAGTACATGTGTGTCCTAAACCATCCACACTTGCTGTACACCACCCCTCTCCTTGCTCAAAAGGGCCCTTGTTTAAGTTACATTGGGCTGGAAACGCATGTATACAGTCAGCCTTCCATATCCACGGATTTCATGTCTTCAGATTTGATCAAAATATTCAGGGAAAAAAATTCTAGGACGTTTCCAAAAGCAAAACTTGAATGTGCCGTGTGCAGGCAACCATTTGCATAGCATTTAGTTGTATTTACAGCTGTTTACATTGTGTTAGGTATTACAGATAATCTAGAGACAGAGTACACAGGAGGATGGGCATAGGTTATCTGCAAATATTACTGACATTTTTATATAAGGGACTTGAGCATCCCTGGATTTTGATATCCCCAGGGGTCCTGGAACCAACCACCCGCGGATACCAAGGGATGACTGTATTTGAAAGCTCTTCTCCCCGTCTCTACCTCCACCCCCTGCCCATCTCTTCAATTCTCTTCCTCTCTCTCCTCTTTGCTCCCAACATCTCTGCCCTCCCCCTCTTCTCCGGCTTCTGTGGCCATCTCCCGCCCTCCTCCTCACCCAGGTGTGTGTTCCTGCCAGACAATGGCGCCTTCTTTGTCAACTACGTCATCACGGCAGCCTTTATTGGCACAGGCATGGAGCTGATGCGCCTGGGGTCACTCTTTTTGTACACCATCCGCCTCGTCTTCTCCAGGTCGGAGCCAGAGAGAGTGCACATCCGAATGGTGAGAGCCAGGCCCTTCCCTGACACAACCCTTGGAGCTTCCCTTGGGCGGGTGTTGGAGTCAGGGGGTGCCTGTTAGAAGTGCGGAGCGACCTGAGGTTGGGAGGCCTGGTGGGCGGAAGGGGTGAGGTGCTCCTCCAACACCAGGCTCGGAGGGGAGGCTGCCTTTCCGGATGAGGAGCTGCAGAAGCAGCCAAGCCAAGCAGACCCTGCCTTCTGCCCCAGAACCAGGCCATGGACTTCCAGTTTGGGCGCGAGTACGCGTGGATGATGAATGTCTTCAGTGTGGTGATGGCCTACAGCATCACCTGCCCCATCATTGCTCCTTTCGGTGAGTCGTCCCTGAGGTCCCCCGGGGGGAGCTACACCCCCCGTTGCAACTGGGAGCCCCAGAGCATCCGGCTCCCTGCTGGCTCAGGAGGAGACCCCGGGCCAGCCAATCAGAAGGGCAGAGGAGGGGGCCAGGTCAGTCAGGGGTGCGGAGTTGGATGGCTATTTACAGAGGATGCTTGTTAGGGAATGACCACTTACCAAAAGGACAGAATAGGTCCTAGGATTCAAGGGAAGCAGCTGGGCACGCGAGGTCAGCCCCACAGGGCTCCCACAGCCTGTCCTTGGCCCCCTCGCTGCTCTGGCTGACCTGCGTCTGGCGTCTCGGGCCCGGGGGCGGGGAGGGTCTCGGAACGGCCTCTGAGCCCGCCTCTGTCTGCCGGCCGCCAGGGCTGCTCTACCTGTGCATGAAGCACGCCACGGACCGCTATAACATGTACTACTCCTATGCGCCCACCAAACTCAACGAGCAGATCCACGTGGCCGCCGTCCACCAGGCCACCTTCGCACCGCTCCTGGGGCTGGTCTGGATGCTCTTCTTTTCCGTCCTGCGCTTAGGTACGTGCCGAACACCCCGCCCCGGCCCCACCACCTCTGTCTGTCCCCCCACCGCTCCGCCGCGCCTCACTGACGACTCTTGTCGAAGCAGACCAAGCCCAGGGAGGAGTGAGGTGTCCCTTGTGGAGCACGGCCACACTCAGCGCCTTCTGTAGGCCCGGCTCCGTTAAGAGTCCTGGCTGACCTTGGAAGTTGAGGGTAGCACCGGTGTGGTCCAAACCATATACATTTCGGTTTACAATTTTCAGGGAAAAAACAAACAACAAAAACATCCTACTCCTTCATTCTAACTCAAGGCTGGCAGGAAATAAAATATTATAGTATCTATCATCAGTCAGTTCAGTTCAATCCCTCAGTTGTGTCTGACTCTTTGCGACCCCATGGACTGCAGCATGCCAGGCCTCCCTGTCCATCACCAACTCCCTACTCAAACTCATGTCCATCGAGTTGGTGATGCCATCCAACCACCTCATCCTCTGTCATCCCCTTCTTCTCCCACCTTCAATCTTTCCTAGCATCAGAGTCTTTTCCAATGAGTCAGTTCTTCTCATCAGGTGGCCAAAATATTGGAGCTTCAGCATCAGTCCTTCCAATGAATATTCAGGGTTGATTTCCTTTAGTATTGACAGTGGGTTGCCATTTTTTACTCCAGGGTATCTTCTCAGGGATCGAACCCTCATCTTCTGTATCTCCTGCATTGGCAGGCAGATGCTTTACCCCAAGCCATCTGGAAAGCCCTGGCAGACTTAATTTTTTAATAAGACTTTTCTTCTAGGTATAAAAGACTACGGATTTATTATCAAAAATAGGAAAAAAAATGGAAAGATTAGAGTTTGAATGACTATTATCTCACCTACAGCCTCCTCCTGTCTGCTGCTCCCTAGAGGACAGGAAAAAGTAGGAGGGGGTTTACTGATTGACTTTACAAAACTGTGGGTCCGTTTTATTCTAGTCAGACTTATATCCTGAGTTTCTTCACTGAACATTATGGTCCGAGCAGTTTCTTGCATTATTAAAATACTGTTTGAGCATGTGTCTTTTAATGGCTGCATTAATTTCTGCCAGTTTTAGTCAGGTCACCATTGTTGGGATATTGAGTTGTTTACCATTTTTTGCTTTAATAAAAACACGACGATAAACATCATTTTGCAATAACTTCCGACTGTAAAGACTGATTTTTAAATATTCATGTAAGTTAGAAAACTCCTGCTATGAAAAAGTTACCCAACATCCCCAAACATAAGTGACTTTTAAATTCTGAATTGCTTTTCCATGCTATTAGCACGCGTAATAGAGTATGTTTACTTCAAAAGGGCTTATGAGAGTTAGACAAAGACAAATTTCATATGATATTGCTTATATGCGTAAAATGATACAAAGAAACTTATCTGCAAAACAGAATCAGATTCACAGATTTAGAGGTTGAATTTATGTTTACCAGGGGGAAGAGCAGGGAGGGACATAGTGGGAGTTCAGAAGGGATATGTACACACTGCTATTTTTAAAACAGATAACCAACCTCGACCTCCTGGATAGCACAGGGAACCCTGCTCAATATTCTGTGATAACTTCTATGGGGAAAAATATTTGAAAAAGAATAGATACTTGTATATGAATAACTGAATCCTTTGCTGTACCCCTGAAACTAACATCACATGTTAATCAACTGTAGTAGTAGTCACGTTAATCACTCAGTCATGTCCGACTGACTGTGACCCCACAGACTGTAGCTTGCCAGGCTCCCCTGTCCGTGGGATTCTTCAGGCAAGAATACTGGAGTGGGTTGTCATGTCCTTCTCCAGAGGGTCTTCCTGACCCAGGGATCAAACCTGGGTCTCCTGCATTGCAGGCAGACTCTTCACCGTTTGAGCTACAGGGAAGTTTACTCCAATATAAAATGTAAAAGAATTTAAAAAAAAAGGGGGGGGGGGAGGGGGGGCAGGGCTTAACAAGGAAAGGTATGGGTCAGTCACTGCATTTGTGGACAAGGATATAAATGAGTGACCTGAGGGAGTGACATAAATGACTCAAATACTTCCCAGGGACCATGATATGGAAGGTAGCTGACCTCTAGGGGGACGTTTATGGGCACCTAAGTGGCTGTTTAAGGACTCAATGAATTTTTTTTCGTGGAATCTGCCAGATGCTGGATTCTAAACTGGTCAGGTAGCACAGAGGGATGATGTCCCTGGGTGGGGCTCGTTGATTAGGTGGTTAAGGGGAGAGCTGGGCAGAGATGTCTCCGCCCCGGGCTCCAAACTCCTCCACGGGTGCGGAGCTGGGGCCCCAGGCATATGTCAGCCGGGCCAGCATCTCTGCCAGCGCCCTGCACACAGCTCTGGTCCTCAGGCGCCAAGCCCATGCCTCTCCTTCTCCTTGCAGGGTCCCGGCATGCCATCACCATCTTCTGCCTTACCACCCTTATTGCTTCCATAATAATGGCCTGCGTTGCCACCTTCATGGGGAAGATGTCGAAAATGAGTAACTATGAGGTGAGTTGCCAGCCTGCCTTTCCTCCCACAAGTTCTTCCCAGGGTGCACACAGCTCGAGGACCTCCTCCTGCCTGGGGCACCCACAGCATTAGAGCAACGAGAGGCCCTTGCCTTTCTCTATGACGGTGGGATGGGCAGACAGTCCTGGGTGTGCATACTGTGTGTGTCCTTGGACTGGCCCCCCGAATCATCACGCCTCCCAGGGCGGAAGACAGTTGTCCTCTCCTCTTCCCCCGACTGACGTCTCCTCCAAACCACAGGCTGCTGGCCCATCCTTCCTACAATGTGAGCCTGTCCAGCCACAGAGCTGCTAGGACCATTCCAAGGGATGGAGGGTTGAGAGAAAGGATGGAGTGAAGGAGTGAAAGGGGGTGACAAGGATGATGCCCTGGGGAAGGGGAGCATCTCCCTTTGAAGAATCTCAGGGTACTCTGATCTTGCCTGGAGGGGAGGCCTGGTTCTCTGGGCCCCATGACTCCTTCGACTCTGCCAGCATTGTTGTTTAGTCACTAAGTCATGTCCGACTCTTTGCAACCCTGTGGACTGCAATACGCCAGGCCTTTTGTCCTTCATATCTCCTGGAGTTCGCTCAAACTCCTGTTCATTGACTCAGTGATGCCATCCAACCATCTCATCCTCTGTTGCCCCCTTCTCCCCCTGCCCTCAATCTTTCCCAGCATTAGGGTCTCGGGGCCCAGCCAGTTATTAGAGAAGGGAACCCACCCATGCCAACAGAACTATGTGCTCTAGCTCAGCACTTCCTAAAGTGGGGTGACTTTAGAAGCGTACTGGAATGATTTCCATTGGACTGAAACATGTTCTCTTTTTCACGGTTACACCTGTATTTTTCTGGTTGACCTTGTTTATGGCAGCTGACACAGGATTTCTGTTTATAATAGTGAATTATTTCCTTTTCAAATGAATTTAAATAAGAAAGAAAGTTGATTTCAAGTACTAGCATCCTACTGAGCCAGAGAAGGGAGCCTCTGAGAAGAGGATCTTCTTGCTTCTGGTGGTCCCATCTCTGGGGCCCCGGCATAGGCACTTACTCTCCTTTTTCCCCAGACCCTCCTCCATCCCCTGGCCTGAGTCCATGCTAGCGAAGCACCTGGGCAGACATCATCTCTGGCTCTTCCCAATACAACAGTGTTGTAGGGTCTGGTTGCTCAAGTGTCCACTCTAGAGACAAAAGGTGACAGAGGACTTAGACCTTCGTCTCAGATAAAAGGGAAATTCTGGCAGGGAAGAGGGTACTGTTGAAGTCAGGGCTTCTCCTGCAGTCAAAGCAGCAGGCTTATCTTGGCACCACAGCTTCCCACAGCTCTCATCGTGGTCCTCGGGATGGAACCTTCCAGAAGGGTCTCCCCAGCATCCTGGTCCTCACTCTGTCCCCTGAGGGTTCAGCCCGGCCTGCTGGGCTGCAGGTCTGGAAAAACAGAAGATGAGTTGAGTTGAAGGGGAGCGAGGGGCCGCTTAAGCCTGAGGTTAGGGTCCGGGTTTCTCTGGATACGGGGAGGGCGGCGGGGGCGGCATTCACTGGCCCTCCCCGCCTCCCCCACTGCCGCAGCCCGAGGAGACGGAGACGGTGTTCGACCTGGAGCCCAGCAGCACCTCCTCCACGCCGACCTCCCTCGTGAGTCAGTGCCCTGGGCCAGGTGGGGGCGGGGGGTGGGGTGCTTACAGGGGTGGGCTTCTCCAGCAGCCTCGTGGGGGTACCAGTGGTTAGAGCCCACCCTGGGTCTCGGGGAGGAGACGGGGTGCCCGGGACGCCCCCGCGTCTGACGCAGCAGGACTTGGCCCAGGTCAGATTGCTGCCGTGGCCCTGGCTGAAGAGCCTTCAGAAAGATAGAAGATCCGGGACTTTCTCCAGGACATTCTATAGGAGGAGCTCAGAGAGGAAGAGAAAGGGCAGGGCGGACTCAGCCTCAGCGAGCTCAGTCGTGTAGACGCAGGGGCCTGCTGGGGTCCTTTGGCCTCAGGACCGAAGGCTGCCGCCAAGGGCGTGGTCCCAGGCAGTGTGGCGCGGACAGAGCTGCCGCGAGCTGTTGGAGGTCTGCACGGAATGGTAAGACGAGTGAGCCCTTCAGCTTGAGAGGAGACGAGGCTGGACTCCAAGTGCAGGGGCCCAGCAGGCTGGGCGCTGGCTCCCACCCCCTGGGTCAGCCTGGAGACGGGCATGAGCGCACGCCCGAAACCAGCCACCAGGGTGGATGCCGGGCCGCCAGGGCATGCACTGAGCTGGGCACCGGGTCGGCCCAGGCCCCGATGCCAGGGTGCCTTGGAGGAGCACTAAAGAAGGGCACCAGGCAGCCCTGGGCACTCAGGGAAGGCTTGCTGGAGGAGCGGACGTCTAACCAGACTCCAGGCACGGGAGAGCTAAGCGTTGCCGGGTGGAAGAGGGTGTCAGGGAGAGCACTTGAGGAACAGGGCCAGCCTGTGCAAAGGCCCGGAAGAGAGAATCCAGGGCATTGGGGAACCAAAGACAGTTTCGGGCCGGGTGCAACTGCAGAGCAGGCAGCACTCACAGAGTGGGTGGGAGAGGGGGCCCCTTAGTCGTGGCAGAGCTGGGCGAAAGGGGCAGACCAACAGTGGGAGGACGTGCCCACGCCGGGTGCATAGAACTACAGGCCTCGCTCTGAACCGAGCCCCACAGATAGGGCCCGGTGAGCTCTGGGAGGTGGCAGGGGAGATGGAGCTTCAGTACCAGGAGATGACAAAGGTTTCAAAGCAGGAGTCTGTCTCCACGTAGCATTTCTCCTGGGGCCTTTCTAAGATGACCCTTCCAGAATATTGTCAGCAGTTGGTTATTGAACCCTTGCAAATTAGATGCTTCACCATTGTTACTCTTGATCTTTACGCTTAACCCACACAGTGGGGGGTTTTATCCTCATTTTACAGAGGAGGAAACAGGCTCAAATATAGACTTAATTTAGACCCCAGGGTACTAACTGCAGTGCAGGGAAACGGCAGGACCAAGTTTGAACCAGGTCTGCTAGATTCCAGAGTTTGAACATTTTTTTTTTAAAGAAATTACCGGAATTGATTTTTTATATCTTTCATTATTGTAACAGAGGTGTCTGAGCATTGTAGGTAACTATGGGGAGAAAGAACAAAGAAGCCAAAATAAGAAAATAAAAGTCTGTATTTCTACCACCTACAATGATCACTGACACCTCTATGTATATTCTTTCAGACACCTCAATGTATATTCTTTCAGATATCTGTTTCCTCTAAAGTGTCTTAATACTGCACACTGTTTCATAACCTGCATTTTTAGTTAACAATCTCCGTCTCCCTACGTAGATACGTTTTTACCTCTTCAAATACCTAGTCCGTATTTGACCTGCCCTACAGGTCCAGAAATATATTTTACAGCTTGTCCAAACCAGGATCCAACCCAGGGTCTGTGCTGGATTAATCTGGCCCCACCCATGTCCCTTTTATTTCAGCACCGTCTCTATTTTATGACTTGTTGGAGAGACCCAGCCTGTAGTCCTGCAGAAGGCCCCATCTTCTGGCTTTTTCTGGCTGTTTCTTCATGGTATCTTACAGGAGGTTATCTCCTGTATTTCCTGAAAACGAGAAGTTAGATTCAAAGGCTGGAATTGAAGATTCAAGTTCAACACTAGGGCCTAGAACATTACAGGCAGTGCTATGTGTCACACTAGGAGATATTTATATATATATTTATATTATTATCCCATTTATTGCCAAAAATGATGCTAAAGTGACTCCCGGGTTCAGGGATGACTGCTGGCTTTTTCCACTTTTCAGTTACCATTTTTCCTGGAGGACCCAAAAGTCATCTGTGGGGTTGACTTTGGCCCTATGAAAATATCTAAATTCTACTGTGGAAAAAAATGTTCCCTCATTATCTAGGGCTGTTTGAGTGAGTGAGTGAGTGAAGTCACTCACTCTAATAAACTCCTACAGAAAGGGTTTCATTCTATCCAATAATTACCAGTTTTTAAAGTAAGGAGTTGGTTTCAAAGTCCCTTCAAAGGACGACAGACAGCTCCATCCCTGTTGCTTCTTGTTTTCCTGTTCGGCTGTTGTCCCAGGCATTCCTGAGCCCAGGCCTGGGCTTGACGGGTCTCATGAGCAAGCCCTCAGAAGGCAGCCTCAGTTTCAAATCCTAATTCACGGGCCAGCCAGCGATGCACCCCGCGGGTGCTGGATGCGTCTCTGAAGCGGCAGTAGAAAGCGCACTAGCTCAGGAATGGGGGTCCCCCGCCAGACCCTAGTGTCAGGGAGCCTGTCGTCTCCCCCCTGGGTTCAGCTGGACCTGGAACCAAAACTGAGTGGCACGTGTGCTGGAGGCGCAGTGGACTGGGAGTTAGGAGGCCGCTGACTGGTCCAGGGAGCGCGTAGATGCCCACGACGTGCTTGAGAGCAACCGGGAAGGGGGCTGGGCAGGCTGGCCAGGACGCGGGCTGCTGGGGGAGGAGGAAGGAGCCGCGGCTTAGGCGGTGGGGGCCCTGCTAAAGGTCGAGCATGGGGCGGCGCAGGGAGGGGGAGGGTGTGCCCAGATGTGACCTTGCCTCGCCCCGGGTGTGACCTCATCCCGTCTCCCTTCTTTGTCCTGAGCAGCTGTATGTGGCCACCGTGCTGCAAGAGCCTGAGATGAACCTGACCCCCGCCTCCTCCCCAGCCCGGCCCACCTACGGCACCATGAGCAGACAGCCAGAAGAGGGAGAAGAGGAGAGTGGTGTGAGGGCCTTTTCGAGGGAGCTGGACTCGGCCCAGTTCCAGGAAGGGCTGGAACTGGGGGACCAGAGCCAGTATCACTGACCGGGACCCAGGCCTCCACCTGGCGACTCCAGCCGGGAGTGGCTGCCAGGGAAAGGGCCTGGCAGAGAGAGGCAGCAGGGTGCCCTGACCCGCCTCCCCCAACACATCCTGCAGACTTTGGGAAGGCTCCAGCGGAGACCTGGCTGTATCTCTCGGCCACATGGAGGCCCCGCCTGCTGACCAGCCCGAACAGGAGATGCTGGGCAGTCTAGAAGGGCTCCCCCAGGATGGGACGGAGGATACAGGCAAGCCCCACCTCTTGGCAACAGTGGCTGGAGCCCTGAGCACAGAGACTGAAGGAGGGCTTTCCTGGGGTCACGAGGGAGAAGGTGTGCCTAAGGGAGGAGGCAGGAAGAAGACTCTCTGGGGTCTTCCCCGCCCTTCCACCAGCTGCCCTGCCCGAGGAGCTTCTGCGGCTGCCCACCCCCCCAGCCCCATCCCTCCCCTGCGGTCTGCGGAGGACCAGAGAGACACAGAGGACCACCTCCTCCCAGCTTCCCTGCATAGAGAGCCGAAAGGAGAAAGTCCTGCACCCCACTGGCAGGAAGGGATGGCTGAGACCGTAGACGGGAAGGAGGCGACTGAGCCCCTTTCTGTCCCCCGCTCCTCATCAGGTGTCCCCAGGAGCCGCAGGGTAGAGACTTGTTCTCTTGTCTGTCCCTGCAAGGGTAGCGGGGCTCATTAAATGGGACCTGTGTACATTCTGTTGAAAGCAACCTGGGCTGGTTACTGTCAGGCGGGAAGGGCCAGAGGCAGAATTCATGGAGTTGGCGAGGGCAGCAGGGGGCGGGGGGGGCGGGGGTCTTCTCCCAAAATGCCAAGTGATGAGAAACAAGATATGCCTCCCCCAAGCCCCAGGGCCTAATGAGAGGACCCCCAAGGTCAAGGATGTGGCCGCTGAGAACTGCCCCAGCCTCATACCCATAGGAGTGCCTGAGCCCCCAGCCAAGGTGGGGGGCGTAGCTTAGGATGAGGAGCCTATGCTGCAGAGCAGGCACGGACTGGCCTTTCCCAGGGCTCCAGGCAGGACCCTTGTCTCCTCTCCGGGCCTCCCTGCACTCTGGACTGAAGAGCGGTCCAGTGGCCTCCGGCGTGGTCCTGGCTCAGACACTGCGGATTCCCTGTGGGCGGTGTCCCCCACGGACAGGCAGATTCAGGCTCACTCCCAAGGCGGCCACCACCCGGGGCCCGGAGGAGCTGAACCCTGAGTAGGAAGGACTCTGGTGGCATCCTCGCCCAGGCAGGAAGTTGCAGGCCTCGGCCTCCGGGGACAGGTGGCCCACCAGGCGGCCAGGCCGAGGGAGACACAGAGCTGGGCTGCAGGGGCCTCGGACCGGGACGAGCCGCCTCAGGCAGGGTCTGTGTGCCCTAACGCTCTCCTCAGCTCCGTCCTCCAAAGGCCTGGGTCCCTGCATCCAGCCTCCTGAAGGTGGGCACTCGGGTCCCCCTCACCTGGGTGTTGGCCACCGGCTCCCGGGCACACGGGTGCTCCTGAGCTCATATCACTTGAGCCTCACTTCTGCCCACATCCTGGCTCCAGAAACTCCGAGCTTGACCCCAGAGGAGAAATAGCACTTGAGGGGCAAGAAGCCCTGCTCTCTGCAGCCCTCGGCCCCCCTCGCCCCGCCCCACTGAGACCTTAGCCCGGACTTCGGCCCAAGGGCTAATTTCCAGAGAGAACCTGGGTTAGCTGGGGAGGAGGCGGTCTTACCCCATCAAGGTCGGAATAAAGAGGAAATTATCCCCATAATCCCAGGCCCCACAGCCCTCCTCCCCAAACATTTCACCAGCCGTCAAGGGGAAGGGTCTCCTCCAGAGCAGAGCAGTCAGGACCCCCGGCCTGGGGCCCTGTCCACCACGGGTAGGTGGCCACTCCAGGCCCCCCACCCCGCCAGCCCCCAGGTGTCCGACAGGCACGTCCTGCCGGAAGGTGGCCTGAGGGCTCCCCTTCTCTTGGCACCACTTGCTGGCATCTGGCCCCCATCTCGCGGTCCCTGCTGGACCGTTCCCGCGGCGGCTTTCTCGCCTCGTCCCCGCAGTCAGTGGAAGCTGCGTATGGGAAGGGTCCCAGCAGACGACACGCCAGCAGGGCTGGGGCTGCCCACTCTGAACCTGGGTCAAACGCGGCCTGGTTCTGAGAGAAGATGGGGACGGTTTTGGGAGCGTTTGAGTCCCCTGGCGTCTCTACTCTTCCTGGAGACCCAGGGCAACCAGCCGGAGCCCCGGCCACAGTCGCTCCACTTCACACGGCCACTGCTGGGGGCGTGGGTGAGCCTGGGGCCCTGCCTCGGCACAGCCAGGCCCTCCTCGGGCATTTCCCTTCCAACCTGCGCCCTTGGCCCACAGGGGTCTCACCCGCTGGCCTCCGCCTACCACCATCCACGGCCCCCTTCCCCAGCCGCCCCCTGCCCCATCTGTGCCCCACGGCCTCCCCCCACCCCCAGAGCCTCAGACCTTCTCCTCTCTGGAGGGAGCTGCCTCCTGGACGGGGGATCGCCTAGAGTCTTCGAGAAGCGCCCCTCCCTGGGCCTAGGGCAGCTCCACACCTGCCTGCCTCTTCAGACGCTTCTGGAAGCGAAGTGCCTATTAGCAGCATTGCATCCTCTGGGGACCCCAGTGGGGCGTGTGGACTTCCCTTGGCCACCACCACTTAAGGAATGTGCCAGAACGCCAAACCTTCTTGTTATTAACGCTATGACCGTGCCTTGAATAAACAAGTCCTCCCAACCTCAGCTGGCCTTGTGCCTCTGCGTCTGAACCTGCCCAGCAGGGCCTCCCATCCATCTGGAAGGAGCCGGAGCTCCCGGAGGTGGCCAGGCTGGAGCACACGTCTTGCGCTGTGGCTTTGGCACCTGGGGCCAGAAGCTGTCCCCCGGGAATCCCTTGAGCCCTGAGGCCTTCCCCGGCCGCTGTCCTCACAGGGGAAGAAGGCCTGCCAAGCTCTGCCTGGTCTCCTGGAGAGGCCAGAAGTGAACCTGCCTCTTTCTTTGCACTGCGGGTGCTCTGAGAGCCCCCTGACTGGCCTGCTAAAGGTGTGCGCTCAGCTGTGTCTGACTCTCTGCGACCCCACGGACGGTAACCCGCCGGGCTCCTCTGTCCGTGGAATTTTCCAGGCAAGAACACTGGAGTGTGTTGTCATTTCCTACTCCAGGGGATCTTCCCGACCTAGGGGTCGAACCCGTGTCTCTTGTGTTTCCTGCATTAGCAGGCAGATTCTTCACCACTGTACCTCCTGGGAAGTAGGTGAGAACTTTCTGGTCCCTGAGCTACCCAAGAAGCTATCAGGCAGCCTCCCCTGGGCAGCAGAAGCCCCAGGCTCAGGGCTGGGCCCTGAGAGCTGGCTCCTGGCCTGATGAGCAGCTGGACTTGACCCATGGAGGCCCCCAGCAGAGGCAGCAGGCGGGGCTCTGGTCTGCACCAGCCTCGGCCAGCGACACAGGGGCAGGGAGAGGTTGGGCACTTGGGCTGCCGCATCGGGCCTGAACGGAACAAGAAAACTCTCTAGCAAAGGGTAGTTAGTCAGCTGTCATACCGCTGACAAGGAGGAAAACTTCCCTACCCTGCGGGGGGCAGGAGACCAGGATTCTAGGCCTTCCGCTAGGCAGCACAATGTCCCTGCACTGGTCACCTCACCCTGAGAGCAGGAGGACAGAAGTCAGTCGCTCGGTCCATTAGTGAATGGAGCAGATTCAGCTGCAGGAATAGAGGGAACGGGGCGTGGAGGGGGGCTTCCTCTGTCACTGACCCCTGTGAGGGCCGAGGACACTCTCAGGGCTCAATTCCCAAGGGGTGCTCCCGAGCACCACCCCCCTTGCTGGACCTTCTCCCAAGCTTTCGTGATCCATTCATGGGCCTGGGCTCAAAGCTCCCCATGGTGTGAGCCTGGCCAGGGGCCCAGGCCCCACCCTCTTGACCCCTCTCCCCTAAACACTATTATTTTCCGAGTAGAGTCAGATGAAATCCACAAGAGATGCTTCAGTGGAGAGGGGAGCAGGAAGACCACCCTGGGCGGACGAGAGGGGCCAGGTTCCACAGCCTAGAAACAGGGGTGGGGGTGTTGGGGAGGGGGAACTGGGCAGATGGCCAGGAGGGAGGCCTGATGCCAGGGTGGTCCAGGATGCCAACCTGATGGGTCTCTGCCCAAGAGGGCATTAGAGCACCACCCTGAGTGCCAGGCTGGGGTCTGCAGGGCTGGGGAGGAAGCAGAAGGGCCCTGGGCTCCCAGAGGCTCTGCCTATGGAGGCCAAGCTTGCGGTGGCTCCCTGCCACCCACCCAAAGCCGTCGGGGAACTCCATGCTGGCCGGCTGCCAGCAAAGCTCGCTCTGTAAAGGCCCCGGAGAAGCGTGGCAGTCTGACTTCTGGGAAGATAGCGCGCAGGTTTTTTTCAACAAAGGCTGTTTTTTGAACATCTGAGATACTGTGGCCTTGACAACCAGCAGCCTAGCCTCTCTCAAGCCTCAAGTACTGGGTCTCTCTTCCGGCTGCCGATGGAAGTCTGCTTGGAGACTGTAAACAACCCTAATGTCCAGGCCGCCTCCCTGAACAAGCCTGAATTTATGAGGTGGGGCCCGATCACCTCTGTTTCACACAATCCCCCCAGTGACTCTGGGGTGCAGGAGGGTTGAGTGGGAGAGGCTCTCCTGAAGCCATCAGGAAACCATCCCAGCCTCACAGAAACCAGGGCAGCTGGTCCCAGCATCTCACAGAGCCTTCACCTCAGGGAAGGGGTAGCCCTGCAGCCGGTTGTCATTTAGTCGCTGTCATGTCCGACTTCTTTTGCGACCCCATGGACTGTAGGCTCCTCTGTCCATGGGATTCTCCAGGCACGAATACTGGAGCGGGTTGCCATTTCCTTTCCCAAGGGATCTTGCTGACCCAGGGATGGAACCCGCGTCTCCTGCATTAGCAGGCGGATTCCTGACACTGAGCCACCAGCAAAGCCCCCGGTGGCCTGTACCCAGTTACAAACGCACAGGCTGGATAACCTCTCGTTCCTTCA